GGTGCGAATTAGATCGTTCGGTGGCTTGATCGACGAGAACATACTCGACACATACACGCCATCTTCAGCTAGCTCGCCTTTGAACGATACCCAAACGGCAACTGTGTTCTGGTACTTTGTCAACGTCACGGGTCAAAGCATGTCCTTGTATGAAAGGCACCCGTTCGACCCGACCCCCATGTTCCGGGGCCATCCTGTTCCCAAACAGCGCCAGCATATATGGACTTGTGTGTGGCGCTAGCATCCCTCGTGCCGAATGTTGCTAACGTTTGTATCAGATACCTTCCCCATCATGGCGTTTAACCATCCGGCATTAATGCAGGCTATGCTTGCGTTGGGTAGCTTGCAGATGGCAAAACTCCAGGGCGCGCCCCCTACCGCCGCCATGAAGCATTATCACCTCAGCTTGAGAAGGACTGCGAAAAATTACCAAAGTCCGCACCGGCGTACCCAACCGGCGACGCTGGCAGCCACACTTTTGCTCGGGTTCTATGAGGTCTGGAACTCGGATCACGATAAGTGGTGCAAACACATGTGGGGAGCTCGCGCCATCATTAGGGATATCCCCCTCCGGCGCTTGACGCGCGAGGTGCTTGATTACAAACGGAGGCAGAAGGAACAGATGCTACGAAACCACCAGTGCAACGAGGTCTGTTTTGCCTCGCATGGAGATCTCAGCGTGGACCCCGGGGCAGTCGATACCGAACTGATCTTCCAGATAACCGGCCAGAAGGTTGACTATGACCTCGCCCAGGGCCACGTTATCGGGGGCTCGTCCCGGCCGTCACGCGTCACAGAGCGTGACGTTGAGACGTATGAGCAGATTCGCGATCTCTATTGGTGGTATTGCAAGATGGATGTCTACCAGAGTTTCCTTGGCGGGACTCGGCCGTTGTAAGCGAAACATCCTCTCGGTGTCGTATACAGTTGTACTAATTTATCATTAGGATGGAATACCGGGAGTGGACGCAATGTTCGCCGCGCGGCCCTTTCGGGAGGATAGACGCGATGTAGGCCATCCCCTTTCCCTACCGTTCTATCTGTGCAGCAGGCTGACCGAACCCCGTCCTTGAAGTTATGGCTCTTTTGATCTCTCTCTGTTGTTACTCGGACGTGTGGCCGATTTTGCGTCTCGTGATCTTGCCCGGAAGCGGAAAGCGAGGAAAGCACAGGGCCCAGGTCCCAGTCAAGGACCCCCAAGTATGGGCCCTGGCGGCGGAGGCCCCCCTCCCGGACAAGGCCCGGGTCCAGGCCCGGGATTTGGTCGGGGTCAATCACCGCCTTCGTTCCCGGGCTTGATGCCAACCTCGGGCCGAGTCACGATACCCCGGGGATTTAGCCCGCCTCGCGACCCAACTCCGCCGAGCGACTCCGCCGAAGACATTGACCTTGACGTCTCCACCGCTGACGCCATGCGCGAGTGGGAGGAGATCCGACAAGCCTTTGAGGTCTTCCGCGCGCGTCTCGGCCCGGACTTCGAGCCCCTGGGCCATGACGTTGTGTCGCCTGAGATGACTCCGTTTGGCCCCGCCCTCATCTACCGGACATACAGCATCGCGGGCATCTGGATGACATACTACATGGGCCTCATTGTCCTCCATAGAGCGCACCCGTCCATGCCGCCCGTCGCCGTGATTGCGGCGGGCATGGCGGCGCAACAGACAGGCCAGTGGGCCAACGAGATTGCCCGGATCTGCGCGGGCTTGCACGAAGACACCACCCATGTTACGACCACGAGCACACTGGTGGGTGCGGCGTTTATCGAAAGCTGTTTCCCTCTCTTCGTAGCTGGTGTTCAGGTATGACGCTCCCCTCCTCCTTTCTTAGTAATACAACAAACAACGCCACTAACCCCCCCCCCCCCCCCCCCCTGTGGAGTACCCCGACCTCCAAAAACGGGACTGGGGGAACCCAACGGTGCACCAAGTGGGGCCGCTCACCCGGTGGGAATCCGGGCGGCAAAATCCCCAACGGGGCGAATCCCGGTGGCACAAGGGGGCGGCGCCTCGGCGTGGACCCCCCTACCACAACCCGCCCCAACTGGGCCCGCTGTTCCCGGACTCCGTGTGGAAACGGGCGCGCCGCATCGACCGCTGCCATCCCAGGAGCCTGAGGCCGGCGGCGAGGCCCGCTTGGTGCTGGCCAAGTCGGAGCAGACGCACTCCGCGCTGGGGCTTTTGGGTGGAGAAGGATTTTGGATACGTTGGGGGATTAGTGATGCAGAGGAGGGGAGGGGGGTGAGTGAAGGGGAGTTGGAGGAGGAGGAGGGGGGTGGGCGAGGATGGTGAGTGAGAGCGAATTTTGGGTGGTGGGGTGGGTGTTGGTTCCAATGTTGAGCTGGATGATGTCCTGAGATATCCTAAGATACCCGGTCTCTGCTTTCTGGCGGCACAGATAAGTTGAGAAGAAGATAAAACTGCAAGGAGAAAAAGGGGAAACAGGGCAAGGCTAGGAATACAATCGCTGTTCATCATCATGGCGTCTTGCTTCATTTGCATTTGCCCGACATCGTCACATCAAGACAGGCTCGGGATGTCAAGTCATGAAAGCCGAAGCTCTTGTCATTTGTCGGCTCCCGTCCCCTTCTTTCTTGGTCGCCCCCCTGCTCGGCTAATCTAGTTCGCCGGCAGCCGCTCGACGACAGTGGCCATCTCCTCGTCCGTGTATATTCTGAAGCCGCGATCCCGGGTCACGCTCGCCAGTTGCACGTTCTTGGCGTCGAGCTTCTCCTCCATGACCTGCTTGAGCGTCTTGAGCACCAGCGTCTCGGCGTCTGCGATGGTGAGGGACTAGATAGGGACGGGCGAAGTAGATTGTCAACATATGCTCCGTTCATTATTAAATATGGGTATATCACCACCCTAAGATGGTTGGAGAGGGGCACTGGGGTAGAGAAGGGCATGGTATCGCATGGCACCCACCCTGTGATATTCATTTTGCAACTCGGCCTGCGCGCCCTCGCTCCCGCTCCCGATCGCCTTGGCGTCGTAGCGGTAGAAGGTCCCCGAGGGCTCGGCGTGGTACAGCGACGGCCCATCCTCGTCGTAGCCAGCAATGAGTAGGGCGACGCCAAAGGGCCGGCTCATGATGCTCTCCTCGCCGTCGGCGGACTCGCCGAAGCGCAGGGCCAGGTCGCAGATGGCCTGGGTGCACGACTCGACGCGCAGCTGCTCGTTGTAGTTGAAGGCGTGCGACTGGCACTCGACGCGCGCATGCTCCACCATGGACCGCGCGTCCGCCTGCAGGCCCGACATGGCGCACCCGATGTGCCGGTCGATCTCGACAATCTTCTCGACCGACGACGTTTCGAGCAGCGTCGACGTCACGCGCTTCTCCACGCCCAGGATCACGCCTTCTGACGTCGCCACGCCGATGGCCGTGCTGCCGAGCTTGATGGCCTCGAGGGAGTACTCGACTTGGAAGAGGCGGCCTTCGGGGGAGAAGGTACTGCGGGGGAGGGGGAGGGGTTGTGTTAGTCGTGGGCTGTGGCCGGCGGAATCATTGCGTGGTCGTGGGCTCGGGCGGGATAGGGAGCGTTCTGGGAGGCAGTGGGAGATAGTAACCTACTTGATACCCCGGTCTAAGAGTGGGTGTTAGCTTGTGTGTCTCGTCTTGTCTGTCTGCCCGCATAGCTTGGGCATCACAATGCGCAGGGACAGAAGAACTTCAGGGACGCTCACCATATTCCGATCTTGCCATAAACATCTTGACGGTGGTGTGGATGAATTCCTGATTTCGGTATATTCGAGGGGCGCTCTGGGCGGTTCGTCGCAAGAAAAGCGGCGGATGGTGATGTCGCGGGGCAGTTGCAGGTTGAGAGCAGTGGAGGTGAGGCGGGCTTGGATTGGCAGCTGAAGCTCCAGGCACGGAGGGCTACGAAGCTCCCCCACTGTTTGTTTCCAGGCGGCCAACGGCTGACCTGTCGACCCCTTGTCGGTACTTGTACAGAAGTACCTTCCCGGACAACCCACACGGCCTCAGGGCGCTAACCCCAAGAAAGCAAGGCGTCAACGATCGCGCTCTGCTGCAAGTCGCGCTTTTTGGGCTAGGGGGAGCTCAACTTGGCGCTGTCACTCGCTCACTTACAGAACTGCATCAACATCCCACCACGAAATCTGAAAACGAAGCAGGCCCAGCAACGGCGCCACGACACACTTTACCCCAGCAATCTGGGCTGCGCGTCGCCAATGTAGACTGACGCAACCATGTCAGGCTCCAGACCATCCTCGTATGTGGGAAAGAGAAGCAGCGGCGTAGCGGGATTGGGTGATCGGGGCTCGGGGGGTTCTGCGCCGTCACGACCGCGAATGGCGGAGACTACCACCAGGACATCAGATCCAAAGATCAGCAGCCGTTATGCCGAAACACATAAACGGTCCACCTCGGTCCATCCGAATCCCCGATCGACGACCAGTTCTTTCGAGGAGCGCCGCACCGAGAAGGTCCAAGTAACCACGCGGGAAACCATCATGTCCCGCACGAGGAGTCCCCAGCACCGCACTGCAACTACCGACAGGAGTAGGACCACCGATGGGTCAAAACAGAGAGCGCCAGAACCGAGGAGGGAGGCTCGGCAAGAGACACCGGTGCCAGGTACACACATCCCACCAAGGGAAAAAGACCCCCATGCTAAAGCTGGTCAATTTAGATAAACTCCCAATAATAGCTTGGGAGCCGGAGGCGACACTCTTGCCGCACACGACAGCACCCCTAGCCTGCCGCATATCGATCCCCCCTCTCGCCTCGGCCGCGCCCCAGACCTTACAACCAAAGCCCTTGCAAGAGCTCTCCCTCGAAGCCCAGGAAGCTGTGATTATCGAAGACCTACTGTTTGTGTTTATGGGCTTCGAAGGGCAATACATTCGTTTCGCCAAAGGATACAACCCTTTCGAGGAGCGCGACCGTCTGTCAGGCCCCCTGTGGCGCATCCTCCCGGGATTGGACCCGAGTTTGCAGGACCTCACCCAATCCATGCTACGTATGGCCAGCCATTATACCGCACTCGAAACCTTCGTCGATGTTCAGAGCCGAGAGGAATTTGGCTCTGTCAACCACGCTTTGTGTGCCTCGATACGGAAGCTCCTGCAAGAATACCTGGTCATGGTTGCCCAGCTCGAGACACAATTTCTCAGTGACGACTCCTTCACGCTACATGTGCTCAACGTCCATGTATTACCTACCATCCACATGATGGCCCAACTTTACGCCCTAGCCCACGAATTCCTCAAACGAAACGCGCTGTTGGACGACGAGACGGACGAATCGAGCGACAGCAACGACGACTTCGACCACATCATCGAGCAATTGAGGGACGGCGGCGAATTGGTACCCGGGAACATGACGGGGAAGAAAATATGCAAAGGTGGGGTGGTGCTCGGCCTGATCACCAAGAGGCTAGAGTTCATGTCGGGAGACCCTGCCGCCCGTGCCCTCCTGACATCCCTTCTACGAGATGCAAGCCGCCCGTACATGCAGATGCTAAACGAGTGGCTACACCACGGGGGCATCAACGACCCCCACTCCGAGTTTCTGATCAAAGAGCAGCGAAGTATTCGCCGGGAGAGGTTAGAGCAGGACTACACCGACGAGTACTGGGAGCGGCGATATACCATCCGGGATCACGACATTCCACCCCAGCTTGAAGGGGTCAAGGACAAGGTGTTACTCGCCGGCAAGTATCTGAACGTTGTCAGGGAATGCGGTGGAGTCGATGTTAGCCTGCAGGTTAAGGACGTGCCCGTCTCGTTTGACGATAACCGCTTCCTCGACAATGTCAACAACGCCTACGCCCACGCCAATGAGTCCTTGATGCGGTTACTCTTGACGGCCCACGGCCTCCCAGCGAGACTACAATCGTTGAAGCATTACTTCTTCTTGGATCCCTCAGACTATTTCTCCTATTTCCTGGAACTGGGTACTTCCGAGCTGCGGAAACCCGTCAAGTCGGTCAACACGAGCAAATTACAGTCACTTTTGGATCTGGTACTCCGTCAACCCGGAAGCATCGTGTCGCTAGACCCTTTCAAGGAGGACGTCAAAGTCGAGATGAACGAAATCACCTTGACCAAATCACTCCAGCGTGTGGTCAATATTACGGGTATCGAACAGGGCGAATCTCTTCAGCCCTTGTCGAGCAACCAACCCCTCGAGGGCGACAAAAATGCCAATGGATTCACCTCTTTACAGCTTGACTATGCCGTGCCATTCCCCGTCTCGCTCGTCATCAGCCGCAAGACTGTATGGCGGTACCAGGCGCTCTTCCGATACTTGTTATCGCTTCGCTATCTCGAGTCACAGCTATCGACAACCTGGCAGACGCACACGAGCGGGTTTGTATGGTCGCACAAGTCATCAGCTCGCAAGCTCGAGATCTGGAAGCGCCGGGTCTGGACGCTGCGCGCGCGAATGCTGGTCTTTGTCCAGCAGCTGCTCTACTTTTGCACCGCTGAGGTGATCGAACCAAACTGGCAGAGCCTAATGGCGCGGCTGCGCCGGAAAGATGGCGGCGGCCTGGATGCTACACTCAACGGTTCAACCACAGGCGTCACCCGCACCGTCGACCAGCTGATGCAGGACCACGTGGATTTCCTCGACACTTGCCTCAAGGAGTGCATGCTCACCAACAGCAAGCTGCTGAGGGTATGGCCCCTTTTCCACTGCTCCCCGTTTTCCCACCCCTCTAACAATGTTCCAGATCCACTCCAAGCTCATGCAAACATGTACCGTCTTCGCAACCTACACCAACTGGCTCTCGCGCGAGCTCGAAAAGGCCGACCCCGACCTCTCCGGCACCACCAAACCACCCAACATGACCGACGACCAATGGCGCCACTTCCAATCCATCCGCACCCAAAAAACAACGCAACAACAACAACAACAACAGCAACAACAAACCCAATCCCAATCCCAAGACCCCAACTCCTCCATCCTCCAACCCACCGACACCACCACCAGCAACAACCCCACCAACGGCGCCGCCGGCGAAGACGCGCGCATCGCCGAGCTCTTTGACGTGATGCGCAAGTGGGAGACCAACTTCAGCCGCCACCTGCAGATCCTGCTCGACGCACTCAACCACTACGCCGCCACCGAGACCGTGGTCCTGCTGAGCCTGTGCGCGCGGCTGAGCACAGCGAACCAGGGGACTGAGTATGCGGGGATGAGGGGGGAGGAGGATGGTGGTGGTGGTGGGGCCGGGGGTGGTGGTGGTGGGGGTGTTTGATTTTTGGGGGGTTGGGTTTGGTTTGGTGGTTGGGGTGATGCTCGGTTAGGTAGTGTGCTTGTGTGGGATGTGTTGGCAGGATCGTGTCTATTACAGAACGTTGGGCTTTTTGGGCCAGGGTGGGTTTGTTCTTCTGGTGGCTGGTGCTGGTTTTGGTATGTTCGAGTTGGCGTTGACATGTGAGGGAGCATACTTATGTACGTGGGTGTGTGTGTCTTGTTGTAAGGCAGAGAGTCTCGTATACCCATCAGTGAAATAAGAATTCCAGTGAATCAACCCATCACTAAAACACATTGTGCCCATCTACTGAAAACGTCAGCTTGGGGCACAGTTATCCATTTAATCGTTCCCTCACCCTATCCATGGAACCTCTAGAGTCAACCGCAAACACCGTCACAACAATGGCAGCTTGATTCTGAGCAACCCCCGGGTATCATTGACGTAACCATACGGACCGGACCCTAAAGTATATCTAGCCCATCCATCATCCATCACACATTCACTCTCATAGCCAGCCACAACCATCCCACCACAACTCCCCTCCCCGGCGCGCCGTCTCCCGCCTCCCAGTCAATCTAAGCGCGCAATCCTCCCCGACCACCCGTCAATCCATCTTCTTTCCCACCTATCACAGCAGTCGGATTGTTGACCAAATCGTAGGTGAATGAGCAACTCCCAGCCCACACAACCACCTCATACCTACCGCTTCGACGGGCGATAGCAACAACGGCCATCCCGCCACCAGCCATCACGGGCCAAAATGCCTAGCTCCAACGGCCCCTTATCACACCACAACTTATAGCTCTCCCCCTTTACTTCGCAGCCACGCCTCACCGATAACAAACTTGAGGGGAGAAATAGAAACAAAAAGTAGAAGACTAAGAAAGAGGAAAACGTAAATCGCATCCGGAAAGCAAAAAAAGGGAGAAATGAGAATGGAAAGCGACGAGGACAGACTAGCTGGCCCCAAGCAAGCCCATCCTCCACTCCGCTTCGCATCGCATATCGCCCGCCCATGCAGTCCTTCAGCTCACTTTGGGAGTATGGAACGCAACCACAAAACATTGGTTGATTGATTGATTCGATCCGATCCGATTCGCCTTGGCTCGGTTGATTGATTTGACTGGGTTGGATTTGATTTGTTTCCCTGGGCGGCGTCCAGGCCTTGCAAGTCGTGAGGTCATGACTGCATCACAAGGAAGCGTCGTTTCACCGGCTGATGCACCGAACCACGCCGTAAGCTCTCGTCAGAACGAACGATCCTATCTCCGTTTTCATCTCCATAACCATGCAGACGGGAGTGGTAAAGAGAGGAGAGGAAAACGAGACCACGAAGACTGAGAAAGGTGAGAACGAGAAACGAAAGAAGAAAACGCGGAAACGAAAACAGAAATCAACGGCAACCGACCAAATGCAGAGAGCAACTACCGGGGTATTTTGCGCCAGGGGTATATCCAGCCGTAGGGGTATTTCTCTTTTCCTCGCAACTCGACGTAAAAAACGATTCCGTGTCTAAAACCTTGCAAAGCCCGAATAACCATGGGAATCTAACGAAATGGCCCTGCGAGAGGGCCGGGGTATCCTGAATTGGTTGAATGAGATGTAGAGGGGCGTCCGCTGTCGGCAGACTGTCGGGGGTGGTGACGGGGCGTGGCATCACCGGGCTGTGGGACCGCGAGCTTGTCGACGCCGTTGACGAAAGCTGAGCCGGGGCCCCAGATGTTGCCGTCGTCATCGGGCAAGTTGACGCCGCTGTCATTCCAGGGGTTGCGGTCGGCGTTGAAACTGCGGGTCGACTCGATCGAAATGAGCGACGACTTGGACACGTTGCTGGAGCCCTTGAAAAAGTTGGCAGCCGACTGGGAGCTGTTCTTTCTGCGATCCAGGAACGAAGAAATGGAGGTCATGCTTCCCGGCTTGCGGAGGCACGCGAGGATGCTCCGCTCGCGAGCAACCTCCTCGCCAAACGTGGGTCTGGTCGGGGAGTCGGTGGCCACTGGAGCCGGTGCGTGCTGGAGCAGCTTCGAGTTGAAGAAGGGCAGCGATTCCTCAAAGGTGTCCGACTTGGGGCGCGGGATAGCACCCTTGATGATGACGGGTTCCACACCCGCCGTGGCAAACTGGGTTTGGAGGAATTCCATGGCATCGCGGAGGCCGCCCGCGTTGTTGCGCGTGAAGGTCCAGAGCAGAGTAACCGTGGGCGAACCATCCTCGGTGAGTTCCTCCGAGTTTTCGTGCACAGTAAGTTCAACTTCGTACTGGCTCTTGAGCTTCGGGGCAATGGTCTGGACGAACTCGGGCGACTCGAGGTACTTGATCAGCTCCGAAGCCCGCTCAAGGACCATTTCGTGCTTGTCGGGAACCATGCCCTAGAAATCAAGGTTAGGTGTTGGCGTGACAAAAGGGGGGCGGGAAGGGATTTACCAGAAACTCGTCAATGCACTTGGGCACAAGCCACTGAGGACCAGTGACAGTCACCTCGTCGCTCGCCTGCTCGGTGCTGGGGAAGACGATCTTGCAGTTCCAATTCCTCTCCAATTCCTCAACCTCGTTCAGCCGAGTGAGCAATTGGCGGTGGTAGAGGCGGTCGACGCTGACAACCTGCGAGGTAAACTCAGAGTCCTTCGCCAGCATGTTAGCGGTGGAAAATGTAGACGGCAGCCAAGGGGGTCGGGGGGGCTTACTACGCGGTCCACCATTTCCAGAATCTCGCTCTTCACGAGCTCTAGATTCTGGGCGTTACGCGCCGGGGTACGGCAAATGACATTGTCAACCCGGCTATCATCGTCCTCACGGCCCATGCCACCTTTTCCAAACGCGTAAGCATCCACATGTGCACATGCACAATCAGGGTCTCGACTTACCACGATCCATAGCATTGGAAAACTTGACAAAGACGGAGTGCTTCTTCATGATGCGCTGGATGTGCTGCCCGCCAATGCCGATGATGCGCTTGTGGTATTGATCAGGCACGTGGAACGAGATGGACGCGGGCATTTCCTGCTCTACCAGACCCAAGCCCTGCTTCAACGAATCATAGGTTTGGGCGATGACTTCGATGTTGAAGTTGTACTCGCCAAAGTTGTCAAACATGATCTGCACGTTGCTGCTCCCCATGATTTTGTTGATCTTGCCGTTCTTCTTGCCGCTTACAAACTCTTTGTGCTCGTTGGCGAGCTCAATGCGCACACGGATCTGGTACGGGGAGTGGACGGCGAACTTGATCTGCGAGATGACCATCAGGGCGGCCTTGACGGACTCGTCAGAGCCGGTGATGGTAAAGGACTGCCGGTCGAAAGAGACATCGGCGTCCGAGTTGGCGCAGATATCACCGAGCATTGCCTGAATATCCTTGTTTCCGGGCTGGCGAGGGTCCGGTTGCAGGAAGATCCACGACGCAGTGTAAAACTGTCCGACCTTGACTCGGAGTCAACACGAATCCCCATGCACAGACGGATAAAGAAGTCTTACCAAAGCCATGAGCTCGCGGAGGGACCGCTCAATATGCAGGTTTTCTACGGCCTGTACGCGCACCAAACCTTTCCTGGATCCCAGCGAAGGGAACATGATGAAAGCACCGTTCGCCTCGGTAATCTTCCGCACTTTGTCCATGCGGCTGAGCAAGATGCTATCGATCTTGGCAGGCGGAATGGTCACATCCTTGACAAAGAGCCTGGTACGGGTAAGGAGTTCATGAATCCGGAACTTGGCCTGTTCAATAGCCTGGGGCGTCTCGCCCGTGATCAGGACCTTGGAAGGGTCTCTGCGCTGAGCGTTAGGCGGGCAGTAGCGGTAGCATCCGGAGAAGGGCGGGGGAAAGTAGATGGCTGTGTTCGTGACAGATTCAATGAACTTGATGTTCTTGCGGTTACGGCCACACAGGAGCTGGTGCATCGACGGCTCGAAGAGGGTGGCATCGACAATTCTCCCAAGCTGTACCAGTCAGTTAACAAAACACTCCACCACACTTTGCAGGAGTTAGGCAGCATACGAGTTGGTCAATGTGGATGAGCACACGGGTCTTGGCATGCTCGGACGACAGGTAGTCACCGTAGATGGCTACCCGCCAGCGCTGGTCCCTCAACAGGTCTACATCGCCGTTCAGACCGCCGGTCAGGGGGGTGAGCTTGGGGCCGAGCAGAAAGATGTCGACCCCGCAAAACGCCGACGTCTCGTCCAGGAAGTCTGTCACCGACTTCTTGAGAACACCCTCCGAGAGATTGGCGACGAGATGCCCGTCCGCAACGACAGTCGTGCAACGCTGTTTTTCAAAGAAAACTGTTTTAGCAAGGGAGCAGAGGCACGGCGGCAGCACATAGAGTAACCCACCAATGAGAGCGGCGTGTTGTTCAGGAGGCTTTCCCTCGTTTGCTGGACTAGGTCGGGGGCGCCAGACAGACACACAGTGGTGACCTGGCCGTTGACATTCTTGGGGGTGGTGGAGAGAACGTGGGCTTCGATGGGCAATGGGTTCGAGGTAATCTCCATACAGTCGTGACGCAGCTGGGCCAGGTTCATAGCATGGACGGGCAGCTCGTGAACGGGAACATCATCGGGGGCCTCCTCGGGGTGCGTCCATCGGAGCACGGCGTCGGTAGTAGCGTGAAGGATGTCCTCGGTATTGGGGCCGGCCAAGTCGGAGGCGAACGGGACGTTGAACGAGTAGTGGATGGGGCCATCGGGAACGGGCGGGGCGGCTATCGGAGGCGGGCCTTGAGTCGCGATGTCTCGACGGGTGTTGATGGCTGCTTGCATGCCCATATTCCGCGACATGCTAAAGTTGGCCGGACTCATCCGCTCAGGCCAGTGACGCATGCTCGACAATTTGTTCATTTTTTTCTCTTTTTGGGGGGGGTATCTCGGATCCCTCGCTACCCGGGTCAATGGTTGTTGGTGGGAGGATGGATTGCCCGGTTGGCCGAGTCGAGAGGAGCAGTGTAGTGGTGTTCGACTCGAGCGGCGGAGTAGTTTGGGGTGACGGGGGGTTGTGGGGGGGGAAGGTGCAAGGACGGCAGCGGCGGAGGCGGCAGAGGGACGAGGTAATTGGGGCTAAATGAGGGACTGAAGGAGAGAGACGTCAGGCCAGGTCGAAAAACGGGGCATCCAGTAGAAACGACACGAGGAATGGAATATTGGGTATCTTAGATGGGGGGAAAGTGTCGAGTAGGGAAAAGAAAATAAAAGACGACAAGAATCTGTCGTGTGGTCTGTCTGGTCCTTCCCGCGATCTACACAACAGGTTGGGGGAGGGGGGAAGAGGTGGAGGAGGAAAGATGGTGGACTTTGATGAGGGATTGGTGGATGGAAGCTTATGGACTGAGGCAGCGCGCAGTGGGTGGAGGGAGATCCACACTCGCTGGCACTGAAAGCCAGCCACGGGCGCTCGAATGTGGGAGAGGCCGCTGGTCCGTGCAGCGGCCAGGGCCTGGCGATACTTTTAGCGCAGCTTTGCGAAAGGACCACCACCACTCACTGGGCGACCCCACTGCACGCATTTCAACTTTCAAGATTTCGGATCAACCAGGAAACGATGTTCACCGGGTTGGAGCAGCTCCCGGCGCCGGACATACATACCTAGTATATCTAGTATATCAAGCGCTTTGTTCAAGGACAAGACATTGGCAGCGACGGCGTCTTGACTGTTTTGAGGCAGAAATACATATCGAGTCTCGGACCAGTCTCACTTTGCATCCATGTATGTACCTCCTACCATTCCATACAAAAGCTGCAGCAGAAGGGACCAAGGTGATTTTTGGATTGAACCTAGCTCAAGGACCTCCGACTGATTCAGTCTCCGCCAACCCCCCTTTCCCACTGGGACGGAGTGCATCCCCGAAAATGCAGGAATGCTGTTCCATTCCCTCACGTTCTCTCTCGCCTCTGGGCACGCGATTGAACAGTGGAACGGCCAGGTCCCTGCTGCTGCATGTATGTCCCTCCATACTTCGTACACAACGAAACATCAGAGCTCGGGCCTTTCCCGGGGTGGCTGGTATGTACATACATGTGTGTACCTAGGTCGGATCGGGGAGCCTAGAGCGATCTTGAACTACTCGATACTTGTTGATTCGGAGTCGAGCCCTGCCCCAGCTGTTTTCAACGTTCAAGCCACGAAGAGAGTAACACTTTCGCCTGCGATCCCGCTGTCTACTCGTACACCCCTGGTCTACATGAAGCTTGGACGCATCACAACAACCGGGTCTGGGACGTGAGCTGGTGGTGGAGCCCACCCTTGCGCTGCTGTGACGTTGTGATCCCCCTGCTGCGGCACAGGCTCAAACGGTCTCTGTTCCCAGTCGTGCCAGTCTCGCCTTGTCTTGGACTCGCTGACTCGGTTCGACAAGTGAAATCCGCACTCGATCCCCCTCATCCCTCGATCCCTACAACAACAACATCCTCGTGCGGTATCCGCCCCGCCGCCACGCAAAAACAAATACAAAATCTGTACCTAAATGGCCAGCCAGTGGTCAGCTGGTAGCGACCACGCGCGAAGCGGCCAGACCGCCGTCGCGGCCACGGCACCTTCCGGACCATCCCGCGGTCAACAAAGGTGGTCGGTCTGGTCCCGCCCCACAACCCTGAGCCCACATAACCCCGTTAACTCACTTCGCCTGCCGCTCAGAAGCGGTGGGGAGGTCCTTCCGGACCCACCGGCGGCGGCCAGACAGTGCGGTTGGGTCAGTCAGTGTCTGGCGCGGGAGAGCTGGAAGTGGAGCGTGACCACTCAGCATTTCCGTTTGCTTGTTGCTGCTGACGGGAGCACACGGAGTCGAGCTCACAGGGCCAGGGCTCACGAGGTACCTAAGAAGTGTTTTCACACCCATTCCAAGCCACGGCCGTGTCACAGGAATGGCTGTCCTCCGGATTCATGTACACACACATGTACACACACATAGGTACATACATAAACCACCACACAGCTGGATGATCCCGATCTTCCTCTTGTGAAGCAAGATTCGAAGATTCGCGCGCCTGCATCTCCCCCCGCCGGCGGGTAACCACCTAGTTATCACACATCACGGGCACTGTGCCGCTTATGTAACCGCTCCCGAAGTGGGCCAAGAAGGCCTACGAGCACCTGGAAGCAATCAGGGCCGAGCATTCGGCGAAACAAACCCGCCTTCACTCCCGAGCGTCTGTCTCATTTACGGGTTGTGGCAGTGTCGAGGCCGGCTTCCTTGGCTGGCTTGCGCGTCTCCCGAGAGGAGAGCCCCCTTTTTGTCCAAGATGGAAACTGGCAAAAAAACCAAGCTCGGTTGCTTATGCTTATTTCCAAGGAGGCATGTAGTGGAATGAGGGAATGAATCGGGGTAAAAAAAACGAGATGTGACCCGTTCCCCATCCAATACCCGTCGAACAAGAGACACTCAAATAAAGCACCATACCGGACCGGACCGGCCGGATCCGATTCTAGTGTAAACAATCCCAAGCATCTTGTACGCGGGTCCCCTGCTCACCGGCCACGCTCAAAGAAGCAATTGACCTCCTGACGAGCGAAACACGGAGACGCGGTCCCCACGAACTTGCGGAGAGCTGAGACTTACTGAGATAATATCGCCTTGTGGCGTCAAATCAGACCGGGACAAATAGGCCATGCCAACATCGAAGTCGTACAGACGGCTCACCCATTGTCTCATGCGCACAGCTTGAGGAAACATGGACAGGCTCTGTGGTTCTAATTAAACCGTGCTGAATCATAGAGGCTAAAAGTAAGGTCTAGCAAAGACAAGCTGAAGTAGATGTGGCCAGGCCGCAACACCGTCCCCTATCCACCAACCGTATAACCGCTAAAGCCAATGCATGCAATTCAGACCCGAACCATCCATGCCCTCTGAACCCTCGACGTCCCCATTTAATCACACATTGGTAGAACATAGCATAACCTCCCAACACCACGCACATCCTAGGACCCATTTCCGACCAATCCCATCCCGTGACACTCTCCTCGCGGTCCGATCACCTCCATGCAACCAGCATGCAGCTTCCTCTCCCCCCAACACTCGCTCAAAGAAAAAAAAATCAGCGATACCCCTCCATCATCCCCGACGGCCCCCTCTCCAAAAACACCACCTCCTCATCCTGTCCCGGACGACCATAGTACCTCTCCACAGGCGGCTGCTGCTGCTGCTGCTGCTGCTGCTGCTGCGTCACAGGGGGGTATTCCATCCTCACCATCTCACCCGGCGCAACACTATACGCACGAGCGGGCGGGGCCGGTGGGAGCATAGTCTCGATCCCGGCACCCTGCGGGTGGTACTGATATCCGACGGGGGCCGCACCGCCCGCCGGACCCAGCGGGGGAGGGCCGGGATGGGCATACTCCACCCGTCTGCCGCCGGGGGTCGCCGCCGCATATTCCCTGGGCACTTCATACCGGACGGTCGAGTCCAGCAGCGGGGCGCACGCTGGCCGAGCGGGGTGGGACCGGCGGATACTCGCGCGCGGGCGCCGGCACCTCGTAGCCGGCGGGGATTTCGTAACGTGGGGGGAGGTGGCCCTCTCCCATCACCGGGCGGGCGGTAGCGGCGCGGTAGTATTCCCTTGGAGGGGCGAGCGGACGGTCGTCGATGGGGGCCGGGATTCGTTGTTCGTAAGTGTCATAGCGGGCCGACTCCATCGGGGGTCGGACACTGGCGGAGCGGGCGATGTACTCCAGCGGGGGCTCTGGACGGGAGGGTAGGTATTCGGCCGTGGGAGGGGCCATGGGGTTGCTTGGCCCGGCGGGTTCCCGGTAGGAGTACTCCGGCTGTGTGAACACGCGTCTGGGGGCCGAATACGCCGGTGAAGTTGGGTGGTAGAGCACCGCGTCGTCGTCGAGCGGCTCCGGCCGGTGCGAAATGCCACGCGGAGCCAGGACTCGCTCATAGGGACCCCTGGGCTCGGCCGCCACCTCCTCCCTAGCGATGGTGGCTGGGCGAACCGGCTCCAGGTACTCGCGACCAAAGGCATCGACAATTATGCGGCGCGCCGCTGTCCTGGGAGGAGGCATCGCCACAGACGGCCGCTCATATCCGGACGGAGACTGCGAACGCTCGGGATATGCTGCGGGACGCACGCTCATCCTCGATGCAGTGCGAACATCGCGGTAAGTAGCACCGTCCTCATAAGAACCCTCCACAACGCGTGACGCAGGCCGCATAGTACGTACTTCCCTAGAGACATACTGGACTGGCTCTGGCCCAGCTGGGTAACCGCTAGGAGGCGGCGCTCTGTAGTCATCGTAGTACACCCTCTCATATCTCGGGGAGGCGACAAGAATGGGCTCTTCGCCGTGATGAGTGCGATACTCATCGGCTCTCTCATAACCCACAACCCGTTCCTGCCTAACGACCCTGGGCTGGTAGCGCCCTTGGTAACCGGTCTCGGCTGGCATTGGCTGTTCATACCTGGGCTCATCATCCTGGATCTCTACCGGTTGTTGTTGTGAATACCTCTGGCGCTTATTGGGGCGGGCAAACTGAGGGGTCAGCGGCGAAGGAGACCGCGGCTCTGGTTTGATGTACGGAGAATCAGCCGCAGTGTCAGCGGCGAGTCGGTCAGCCTTTCTCTTCTTCTTCTTGTTTTTCTTCTTCTCGGCGGCTTTGCTACTGTGGGGTGAGCTCTCTGGGCTCGAACCATTGGAAGGTTGCTTTCTCAACGCCGCAACCTGCGCGGGAGGAGCCTGCGACGCGCTGCCAGACTCTGCAGGGCCCAGTTGCGGCTCCCTCGCTATGGCTGGCGGTAAAACATGGGTGGGCTGAGGCGCGACAGGGGAGAGATCATGCCCACGAACAAGGGGAGGATCGCGAACCAGAGCCTGATTCAGCAATCTCTCGTTTACCCGCGCAAGGTCATGCGAGCCACTCAACTGCGTGCTCCCCGTCTGGGTCGATTCTTCCGAGCGCCCTCCCGAGTCCTGCTGCACCGCAGCGAAAGCTGCGGGTGCTTGAGGCACATGTACCCTTGTAGAACTACTGGCGTCAATCGACAGACCAGGCACCGTTACGCCGGAGGTCGGGGCCGATTGAGCCTGCATTGCGGGGTTCGGCTGTTGCTGTGGCAAGATAGCGGGCTGGGGTTGCAGAACGACGGGACTAAGATCGAGTTCAGGCTCGTACGGTGATCCCTCTCGCATCTCTTCGTCCTCAGACTCGTTGGGAAGGCGAGACACCATGTTCGATTCGGGGGTGTCGTGCCGGCTCGAATAGAAAGTGTCATCATCGGCCGAATCGTTCGACGCTGAGACATTAGCAGCTGTGTCGTCAGTAGGCTGGGCAAGCGGAGTCGCAAGGACCAGCGACATGGCCTTCGCCAAAATATCGGCGACGTCAAGCTCGGCCAACTGCTTCGATGCCCGTTTCGGGCCACGGTGCTGGTCAAGTTGCTCCTTGAGGCTGCGCTCCACACGTTGCCGTTGCAGCTGGATCTCGGCCTTGACCAAGTCGTCAGACTTTTCCAAGAGCACAGGATGGATCTCGGTCTTTCCGGGCCCGGAGGCTTTCGCGCTGCCAAGTGCGCCCGACAGCGTCCCCAGACCAGGAACACCCGAAGCCATGTTTACCTGCGCCCGTTGCCTGTTTGCTTGCCGAGACTGCGACTTGTCAATTACAGCGCTCTTTGCTTTGACTGGCTTTGAAGGTGCCGGCACAGCTGAAGCGGGTGCCTGTGCTTTTTGGTTTTGGGCGGCTTTTCCTGGGGGATGGGATGGTTTGATGCGAGGGTGCAATCCGCCAACGACCTCATCACGAAATCGCAGCAGTTTACCGTACTCGCGAATTTCTGCAAGTTCATCCGGAGTGAGCGACGCCATCAAGGAGGTATTCCCCGATGCACCCAGCCCCGGCCCTCCTCTTCCCGGCATCGTTCCGACCAAAGATGCCCCGGCCATGACGCTGTGTGCTCCTGGCGTGCAGCCAGAGCGCGTTTTGAATGCACGACTCAGCGCGTCAGCAACCTATCAAATACAGTCGCGGTCGATAATCTCGGCAGACAAAGCAGCAGATACAGAAACTGAAGCTGGTATGGTGAGGTTGATAACGGGACGTTGTCTGCTTCTCGCAAAAGATGACAGAGGGAGCCCGGAAGCTCTTGTCGCTGAAGTTGGAAAAAAGACAAGGCTTGGGCAGTGGAAAGATTTGGTTGCAGATCACGCCGTCTTGTGCCAAGCTTCCTTCAGTGCACGAGCCAAGTTTGGTACAAAGTACCCTCGTACCTCGCACCTGTGCTGGTGGGTCGTTGCCTCCACACTGGCACTCACTGATCGGCCTGAGTCAACTTCTCCCACCTGCTGTAGAAGGGTTAGCATGAAAGTTCCAATGCGGAGAGTTAACAGTGGATGACAGATAAAAATGGAAGTGCTAGTTAAGCTTGGTATATAACAACTTCCGGACCCAAAATACGTTGTTGTACTGCCAACATCTTCTTTAGACACCATTGTTCAAAAGCAGCGCTTAACTAGCACCATCAACCACGCCTTTCCCTTGTCTCATCCTTCGTCCCACTTGCTTCATTCAAAGGATTATTCCCAAGTTAATCAACCGGGGTCTTCTCTTCTACTTTGTAGACGACACCAAGATATTCTTTATACATTGCATACATCATATAGTGTATCCTGTGACTCTCAGTGCAATGGAGTCCGCTACCAATGGGGCCGCGCCCAAACAAGTCTTCTTCTTGTGAGTGTGCCAGCGAATGTGAACTCTGAGTCCATAGTATCTAACTCCAAGTAGCGACATTGACAACTGTCTCTATCCGAAGAGTGAGTGAGACATCTTTGCTCAAGTATTCCAGTGTTTCAAGGGATCAAAGACTTACACGAAAAAGGCGCCAAGGTCCATGACCTGATGGCCGATCTGATTGACAGATACTTTGTCACTCATCTCTCACTGCCCTGGGACGACGCAGTCCGGCTCCATAAGGAGTACTACCAGAACTACGGCCTGGCTATCGAAGGGCTAGTGCGGCACCACCAAATCGACCCCCTCGATTACAACGCCAAGGTCGACGATGCCCTCCCACTCGACAATGTCATCAAGCCGCGCCCAGAGCTCAAGAAGCTGCTGGCCGACATTGACCGGAGCAAAGTCCGGCTCTGGCTCTTTACGAACGCCTATGTCAACCATGCCAAGCGGGTGATTCGCCTGCTCGAGATCGAGGAATTCTTCGAAGGCGTCACATACTGCGACTACAGCGAAGTGCCGTTGCTCTGCAAGCCGAAACCCGAAATGTATCAGAAGGCGATGCGCCAGGCGGGGGTTGAGAAGTATGAGGATTGCTTCTTCGTCGGTGAGTTGCTGTTTTTTAAGTCTTCGTAACTTTGCTTGCCGTGGGGCAAAGTACTTACACTGAAACTAGATGACTCGTACCAAAATTGCAAGAAAGCGCAAGAGCTTGGGTGGGCCGTTGCCCATCTTGTTGAGGAGGGTGTCAAACCACCCAAGACACCGGCCTGTCAATTCCAGATTCGCCATCTGGAGGAACTACGGACAGTCTTCCCGCAATGCTTCAAGGAGACGGTAGCAGAAGCAACTTGAGGGATGGCCGAAACGGGGACGAAAAGGCTCAAAACCCCGTAGACAACTCCGATTTTAGATAGACCCGGTGCCTTTCAGCATGGCGCCCACGATGCATGATCAATAGAAGGAGCAGTTTCCCAAACCCCATCCGATGTGTCCCACCCTTGATCATATCAACCAAAATAACGCCTCACTCCGTCCAAAAAAAAACTCTAGAATGCCGCTTTAACCATCCCAAGTCAGCCCCAAAACCAACCATAACCCCCATAACCCAAACCCCCTCCCACACCCCGCCCCCCCAAAATCATCATGGCCGCTGCAAGCTCCGCAACAACGCATCCAGCTGCCCAAACACCTCGTCCCGCTCGCGGACCGCCTCCAGCCGCTGCGCCTCCAGCCCGGCAATCTCCTCCTCCAGCCCGCTGATGATGCGCAGCTGGTCGCGCTCGCTGTTCTGCAGGCCCGGCAGCTCCGACGCCAGGTACTCGATCCGCTGCGCCTGGACGATCATGTCGCGCGCCAGCTCGGCCTGGCCCTCTTTGAAGGTCTGCGGGTCGAGCGTGTCGACTGTGGGAAGGGCGGGGGTGGTGGTTAGTTAGTTGTCGTGTTGGTGATGGGGTGGAGGGGGGTTATGGTATGGTGGTCTGGTGATGGTGGTGGTGGTGGGGGAGGAGCGCACCTTCTTTGGGTTGTTCGGCTTTTAGGTCGGGAATCTTGTCGTTGGGGTGA